TTCTGGCTGTCTGTAAATAAAGCAAAGCCACTTCCTCGTCCGACATTAAACAGAGGAGGGAGGGGCGGGGCGGCTGTCGCCGTGCGGCGCTTCAACAACTGTCCTGCGTCTGACCTCAAAGTGCACAAGCTTCAGACTTCAGCGTTGGCTGCGATTTTGAAGCTGAAATCGCGTTCGGTGTGAACGCACCATTATATGGTGTTTTTGGYGTGGTAATTATGCTAATCTCCTCTCTCGTGCACGAGCAGCTGGATAGAACAGGTGTAATTTACGCAGCTTATTTACACACTTTTCCTGAAGATAGAAGAGTTTGTTGAATCGGACGTGACATGTTCGTACGAACACTTCATACGAACAAAAGTAAGAGAAATTTAGGATAAGAATACGAACATGTTCTTGCATGAGGCCCAATGTCCTATTTCTAAAAATGCATTCATATGTATAACAAATTTTGATGTCACAGGCACTTTAAGATAATCCTGAAACTACTAAGTAACATTCTCAACATCACAGAGTTAGTGGAAAACGTTATGAASAAATATAATTACTTCAAATGCTCTGGTTTCCTCTTCAGGCTGCAAAGACAGGATGGGAAGGGCAATAGTGGAGCTCTACGGAGATCATCCCGGGTGGCGATCGACGGTAACGAGCCAGGAGCTCTTCCAGATGCTGCTCTACTTCTACTCTGTCACCAGGTACGAAACAATACTGCGCAAAAACCTAAAAAGAACAGTTACTTGTTGTTATGTGTTGTTTATTATGATCCAAAAACAACCTTCTTAACTCTTTTTGTGTTTGTGTCCAGGAAGGAAATCAGAGAAGCTGGGATGATGCTCATTTTTGATGCTCGGAAGAGAAATCCTCAACCACAGCTCTACAAAGCTTTAATGGCTCTGCAAGTATGAAACACACAGAACACATTTCAGCTGACATTTAATGATTTGCTGTTTGAGTGTTAATGTCTGGCTGGAGGACTGCTGTTCACAGACAATCACTTCTAAGTAAAATGTCAGGTCCTTAAATATTTATTAGCTCCTGATAATCTCCAACTAAGCTGCCATTTATTAAATATGCAAAGTTATTATGAAAACCTTCATGATTGTTTGGCAGTCAAAAGATGGATTTTATTTTAATATTGTTAAATTAACAATTTAAGTTGCAAATTGCTATTTATTTGCAGATGTACAGTTTTAATAACTTTATTTACAATATTTTAATTTAAAAAGAGTGTAATTTGTATTAAACTGTTCCAGGAGCAGTGTCCCTGTGCAGTGAGGAGTTTGGTGCTGTTGGTAGACAAAGAAAACAACCATCAGCCAGAAAGATGTCCTGGAATACAGGTCGAGTCTTTCTCTCATTTTAAAAAATATTAAATCAAACAGAAGTATTAGAGTTTTTTTCTGCTAGGCTTCAGACTAACAACAGGCAGAAAAACAGAAAAAATATCATTTTGACTTAAGTTTTTTCTGTTAATCTGACATTTATAATGTTGATTCAGACTGAACTGGTGATGTCGATAAAAGCCTTGTTCAAACTGGTGGAAGTGACTCAGCTGAGCTCATGTTTCGGTGGCTCCTCTTACGGCCTCTGTGACTGGATGACACTCCACCAGGTGAGACACGTTACCTGTTTCTGCTCAGCTTTTCTGCTTCCTCTCTGGTCACAGTCACATCTCCATAACTTTTACCTTTCAGAGACTCTTCCCCTTTTTTACTGACCTCCACGAGGCTTCCTGTCTGCTTCTAAGAGCCATCAGTAAGTTAGAGGAGCCTCAGATGACAGATTCTGCACAGGTAACAACGCTGTTCTTAAACTGATTTAAACGTTGGATTACTGAGGAAGACAAACTGGAAGTGGTTTGTTCCAACAGGCCGTGCAGCAATGCATGATGGACCAGAAGACTTTGATGAGGGACGTGTTGGAGGATAGCCGATTGGTCAGACTGCAGAGGGAGGGTGGAGCCATCCTGGCGAGGCTGAGGAAGGAGAGTGACTTAAAATACCCTCACTGTGAGGACCTTAGGTAAACACCAAACACGTCCTCTCTTTTTAGCACATCTGATTGTGGCCTGGTGTAAGTTTAGCTGTGGTGTTGTATGATCTTATTTCATGATACGAATGAAGAAATAAACTATGATCAGGTCATTGCTTGATCACACTGACTGCAGCAACAATTAACTTCATTTGTAAAGGTGCAGTGCAGCTTTGGGTAAGTTAAGGATTTTCCTTAGAGTAAGCCCTGGCC